CCCCCCCCCCCCCCCCCCCCCCATTAAAGAATCTTTGTTCTAGCCTGTGTTCTTTTTAGGGCAAAAACTCTCTGCTGGAAAGAGTTAATTTTTTCCTAGGCTTCCTTAAAACTTCGGTTGGGCCTGGTCTGAGCCGCCCTGCCAGAAGCCCTCTTTTCTCCAGCAGAGCCCATGCTTGTCTAAGTACTCTATATGTAACTGCGTATTTTCACTGTGGCTCTGAAATCCTCTTTGGGCTAGAGGTGACACCATGAGCTAAGTCGGAGCTTCTGTCGCTAGTGTCTGCCTTGGTCCTCCCTGATCAGTGCTCACTTGTGGTCTTAAAGTGATGCGCAGAGCTCTGAGCTCTGCGTGTAGTGATCCTCTTTCCCGAGGGCGCTGTCGTCTCCGCCTGTCTGACTTCCGCTGTGTCTCCCTTAACTAGGCACAGTGCTGGCCTCTGCCTGGGGTTTCCCTCCCTGTGCTGTCGTCTGAAGACTCCCCAGGAATAAATGGGTGTAAACAAGCTGTCCTCTTTTTTTTCAAAGCACATTGTCCTTTTTCTGTGTTCATTCTCTGTTTCATTTTGTCTTAGTTATTCGGCCAAGAGATTAATCTGTTCTCCTTTTCTAATATGACTAAGACTGGGAATGTTTAGAATATCTTAAATATCTAAGGTACACAGGCTAGTTTAATGCACCCTCATGTGCCCATTGCTTGCTAGCGCCAGCAGTTATTAACCCACAGATAATTATGTTTGATTTATGCTTCCACTCTCTGCCCCTTCTTTCCTGTGTTACTTTGAAAGGACTCTCAGAAGTCTTTTGTTATTTCATTTGAGGATATTTCTTAGAGTAGTATATACTTAATTCCATATGCTCTCTTTATTCTAAACCACTGTCCACATTAGAATACTGTAGAAATTAGTTTTTCATGATTAACCATCATCCAGAAAAGTTTAAAATGTGTTCACTGAGGGTGGTAATACCAGTTTTTTAATATAAAACTAGGTAGACTGTGATGGCAAGTGCCATAATCCCAACATTTAGGAGGTAGAAGGGGGAAGACGAGGAATTTGAGGCCAGCCCAGTCTGCTTAGCAGGTAGCTGTCAGCCCAAGTGACATGAGACCTGCTTCAACCAAAAACGGCAGCAACAGCAAAAATGGAAAAGTAGAAATAGTCCAGGTTGGGAGTGCACGCCTTTAAGCCCAGCACTTGAGAGGCAGACACAGGTGGGTCTCTGTGAGTTCAAGGCCTGCCTGGTTTATGATGTGAATCCAGCACAGCACAGACCTATTACACAGGGAAACCCTATTTCCAAAAGCCAAAAACCAGACGCGATCGGTATGTGGTATAGGGGGTTCCAAGGCAGGAGAGTGAGTCTTCTAAGACTGGCCTGAGCTCCAGTCACCTCCTTCTGTAACGGGGAGGTTGTCGCTTGCTAGTGTTTTGTCGCTTGTATCACATTTTTTCTGCTTATAAACATAGAGAAAAGCGATTGCCCTGTCATGTAGACACACCAGAAACTAAAGGGTTTTTTCTTTTCTGAGACC